TTCGCGTATTAATTTTGTGTTGAAATTTTATCGCAACAAAGTCTAGTCTATGTATCATTGTAATGGAATTCTAATGATTACTTTTGAAGCAGAGTTTCAAACGCTTAGAATAGCAAAGGCAAATACATTACCTACATGCAAGAGCTCTTTGGTACCGGAACCTAAAGGATATCGATCGCGATGAAAGCACAGAACGTTGTATCGCATATTACGAGTAAGAGAATATTTCGTTTCTCATAACGTTCATATACACGATATCAATTGCAATATTTCTCAACGCGTGTTAAGTATCGGATCAGTTTCAACACACAATCGCGAATCTATATTTATCACCGAAAACACTTACTCATCAACGTTACATATTTATTATAGTTAGTAAGTGCAGTTTAGCAAGAGACGGAAAATGCGATATTATAATGCAAGACCTGATTAGCTTTAAAAATCACAGTATCATAAATAAATATAAGATAATTTGTCTCTTCTATAAGCGCGCTGAAGGAAATTAGAAATTATGGATTACGATCTTATCTATAATCCACAGGTAGAAAATTAGGTCAACACGAATATGCGATAAGTCTAGTTTTGGACACCTCTAACGTCGATTAGAAAAACCGTTGATGAAATTAAGCTTCACAGGTCTTTTCGGTAAATCCTACTTGTTCATCCTACCTTCCTCGGCAGGAGAAGTCGACGGTATCCTCCAACTCGTGCCCCTTCGCAGACTGACGACCACTTCCGCTTCCACTTTCGGTTCCAGCATTCCGATCGTTCATCAATCCCGCCAGGTCGTAAGGAAAAGAAAGGATGGGAAGAGAGAAACAATAGGTCGCGTACGGTGGTATCGCGACAAAACTCGGTCAAACTAAGTTGACACTGGTCAACCGCGTCTATTCCTCAGACAGGCGAGGAATTCCCGAGGATGCCTATCGACCGGCTACTCGCCTATCGCGCGGATCGGCCAATGGTAGTGACAGGGACAGTCACGTGCGACCGCTTTCGACAGTGTGTCCTCGATGATCCGTCAATGCAGTGCGACTCGAGCAACGTATACCTCCGCGACTCTTTTTTATAAACGCGAGCATTCCGGACGCCGATCGGTACCGGTAGTCGCCACTCACCACCGTCGCGAGTCGCACTGTTTGATATTCATTCGCGGGTGCATTGCGTGTAAATTATCTACCGCGAGAACGTCGCTCTCTTTCCTTCCGTCCGTTTATTCGTTCCCCACGCGAGGAAACTGTCTTCTTTCCCGCACTTGCTAGGTCCCTTGCCCGGATTCTGAATCACTCGAAGAGACGATCTTATAACTGCCGAACGATTTATTGAATTTTGGAACGCTAGAACAGATGATTAGTGAATGATCAACGTGATGAAATTTTGACAAATATTATATCAGAACTGCAATTGAATATTTACGTTTAATTAAAATCAATACATTATTTCTATTATTCGTAATTGTATTGATATTACTAGAACTCATGTATAAATATATTATTTCATTATCATATAAAGTGAACTGGAGTTTAGGATAAAAAGTTTAGATACACTTTCATCAAACTTCTCTTTTAAAGTGACAAGGAAGCCCAAGAAGACATACGAAAGATGATATTCTTTCAGACATCTTTATAGCATTTTCTAGACTTTTAGTGAGTTTGAGTTTATGCAAAATACTCTTCACAGATTCAGTGACATTTAAAAATTTAAATTTTAATTAATACCTGAAGAATAAATGTAGGATGAAACTGAGACGTTTAAAGAAAAAGTTTGCTAAAACATTGCTAAATAAAATACCAATGCTGGGACACTTATAAGATCTATGTTTGGATACCTTTATTATTTTAGTTCTTAAATAAGTATAACGCGAATTAAAATCAAAGATAAAAATATAATACAAGAAAAATATTTTTATCTTCGATTTTAATTTGCGTTATAACTTATTTAAGGACTAAAATGATAAAAATGTCCAGGCATTGGTACATTTAGCTTATTCCATAAAGTATTGCAACATTTTCCGACTATAATTACCATTTCAGGTGTAACTCTTGACTTTATCATCAGCAATACACGTTTTTGATATTGCAATATGATACGTTGCAATATCGAAACATGGCGCATATGCCATCAAAGTTGAATCAATTATGACGTTCGTAATCAAAAGTCAGTCTATGTCGTTCGCTTAAATATACCTTTAAGTGCGGTAAAACGAGATCGATCGCGATCCGACAGGAAAGTCACTCCAGCAACACCTCGCGCGAAGTGTGGTCGACGTCATACTGCCAGTATCACTTCTCGCGTAATACACCGAAGAGCCGACCGCTGCTTGTTTGCAATTCGCGAGTTTACGTGTCGACGCGCGCGTCAGCTTCCAGGAATTTGTGAGATCTCGTAGAAACCGGCCGTGGCAGGCCGGTTCTTTTTATTACGTCGGGAATCGCTATCGCGAATTCAGGCGCGAATATTCGGTCCCGGTTGACGGAGCGGCCGAGGTCTAATCGAACAGGACGTTCGGCGTAGGTACAATATGGCGATAAGCGCGCCGTTGATAAGCGTATGATTGGCCGCACATAACGAACGTTCGGTCGCGACTGAAAGACCGAGTTAAGGCTCGACGGTTTATTTCCATCGCATGTCGTGCCGAGGAACGAAATGCCGATATTTCGCGATACGCTACCCACCTAGCCAGAATTAATTAAGCGCGTGAAATGTGGTGTAAGCACGGGAAATTAGTTTTTCTCCGCGTGTTCATCGCGCGTCGCAAAAAAACGTGCGGACGGGAGCGTCGGGCGAGTGAATTATAAATTCGCACGCTTCTCCGTCCCAGAAATAAAAAAGGATTTTCACTCGGAGTTGGTTTTCACATGGCGCGAACCATGTCACACTGCACTCCCGCGCGTAGCTTCAATTCTTTGGCTGCGGCACGTGAAACTCTTTCGAAATTCACAACGAATAAAATAGAAACACCCATTTGCGACGCATCATTCAAATTCTAAAATATAAATGAACAATGTTGAAAATAAAAACGTCAATTATCTATACTGAAAACCTCATTTGCTTTTACAATATTTTCGATTCTAGTTTGGAGGTGTACACGTGGTGTTCGTGGCCAAAGAATCAGACGCTATTTGATTTCCTCGCGGAACAAAGTCAAGTGCGAATTATGCGAATACAACGAGCGCCCGTGTGTGACTGAGGAGCGCGAGCGGCGCGTTTAAAAGTTCGTTTATTTTGGTTATATCGCGTCGTGCCAAAAAGCCGAACGCAGCTGACAGCCGGTGGTGACATAGTGATCGTGGCGGTGACGTCAAACGGTATAAATCGCTCGAGATGTTTTCGGAACAATTTCTTTGAGACTGTATTTACGAGGCGCCGTGAAAGAGCGACGAGATGTTTTCGGACCTAAGCGAATGGGACACTAGGAAGAGGAGCGCTAAGTATATTATGTTACACCCTGAAGGAATTAAACAAATAAAGAGGCGAACACCAGTCGCTGCGGGACGACACAAAAAGAAACACAATCTTAGAAAACTAGTATCTTCATTTTTTTTCTCGTTCAATATTTCGTAAGTATACATAATTGTTCTCACGACAAAACTTTCGCAACTCCCCTCGACGGAGATCTCTCTTCGGCGAGACGGATCCGCCTCTTCGTTTCTCGCATATCCTCTACACACTTCGTTATTATATTAAATTTCACTTTTACGTATCACTGATGTACTCGATGGTTCGTCGAACTCGCTACGCGAGCGAGCAATGCGGGAATTAAGTATCGATAACGATTCAATTTCGCCTATCTACATTGAATCCTGCTTATCGCAATCGTGCTCTACACGCGAAAGAGTTGCCCCGCGAATCGAAGTGAGTAATTCCTTGAGCACCAAATTGGAATATTTCAAAGTTATGAAAAAAACCTTTCTTCCTAAAAAGTAATCTCTTTATAGATATATCTTTATAACATTCCTGCAATAAGAGAAAAAAACCCTTTCCTTGTTGAGAAACGTCAGGTGGTAACATTTAAAAATAAAAATTTAATACCAACGATCCTGCAAAAAATTTTAAGTTCGAAATATGATCAATATATTATTTAAAAAGATATTTTCCTAAATATATATAAATAAAATAAAAAATTAGAAAATAATGGATGAAAACACAATCAAACGTCTTAAAAATATTTGAAGAATACCAAAAGCCTTAAAAAACAAACCATTTTTGCAGCTATTTCAAAATGAACGGCCACGTATGCCATTGAATAATAGCGTATACATGAATATGTCTTAACGCGACTTGGACGAAATCACAAAAAAGAGAGAGATAGAGAGAGGAGAAAAAGAGAGAAATTATGTTGCAACGAACATATTGCGCGAGCATTAATGCGCGATTCCCACGCTTATTACCCTGACAAGCAAAACCTTGCGATCAGCTTATCGCGCCTTCGTCAAGCTGAAAATCTCGCGCGCGAATCCTAATCATCGCAAGCCTATTCTCTCGAGATACTTGCAAAATCTCTCGATGAACACTTTTTCCTGCGGCCGCTTGACCGCCGTCTCAATAATACCGACATTGGCGGAGCAAAAGGACTTGACGAGCATCACGTGAGCCGCCATTAGCAGGTCGTCGTCGGCGGTGAAACGTCTGTCGCGAAGGAGCGGCGCGAGCGACGGCTCGTCGTGGCACCGAGCGTCCCAGAAATCGTCCTCGCGGTAACAGGCGTGTTTCGCGTACGCGGTGGTGAGAACGGCGATCAGATACGCCAGGAACCTGCGGTGGCACCACAACGTCTCGTGATTGTCGTGCAGAGTGATGTACTGCTCGTTGAACAAGCACTCCTCCGTCCAGTACGACAACGCCCTTAAGTAACACCTGAGTTTGCGGACGTCGGTGGTCGAGTAACCGTGATCGCGCTCCAGACCTCGCGCGGCGACCTCGCGAATACGTTCCAGCAACGTCCGTTCGTCGTCGTCGAGGTCGTGACGGCCCATGTAGAAGAACGGTCCGTCCTGCCCGCAATAGCCGGAGTTGTCGTACGTTTCCCTGCCCGAGGAGACCACGGCCAGGATGTACTTTCGCAGCAGAAACTGCCGATAGGAATACGCGCTATGGTCGGACACGTGTTGCCGGCACCAGGTGAGCGTGTTTATCCACTCGGTGTCAAAGCTGAGACGTCGTAGACCGCGGGACTCGAACAGGGTGACCAAGTGGCGCCGATAGCTCCACGCGTGGTAGTTGTTCGCGTAGCGATCGGCGCAGGTCTGCACGAGCTCGAGCTCGTCGTTGGCGAGCGCCTCGGCGACGTCGGTCCGTCGCTCGGCGTCCAGGACGAACGGTATCAGCCAGCTCCGATATGAGAAAGCCTCGAAGCACTTTGGCGTGTGATAGAGCACCGGTCGGGTGAAGGAGAGCTCGTCGCGCGGGTCCAACCTGCCGGCGCGCACCAGCTCCCGCCGCATGTTCCAGAACATGGTCACGCTCGGATTGAGCAGCAGGGCGCCTAGCAGCCATCTCGCCACGGTGCTGGGTTCCTCACGCCGCTGATGGCGCGTCCGCCGATACTCCAGCAGCCGGCGATACGTGTACACGTAGAGCGGTTGAACGCACCACGACGCCAGGCCCAAGCTGTCCTCCTGGTGAAACACCGGCGACCGATTCTCGCTATCCTCCATCGGCAGGATCACGAAGCTCCTTCTAGGAAGGCAGAGAAGTCGCGTGTAAAATTGTCGCTTCGCTTTGTGCTCGTATTGTAAGAAAGAAAGCAACGTCCGTGAGTGTTTTTCTTTATGTTAGTGAGTCTTTTAAATTGATGTGTGAATAAAGACAGTTATGTTATTCCAAATTCCTCTGCATTACATTAATATTTCTTATTATTACATTTCATTGTTGGCCTAGTACGCGATAAAATTAACCGTAATAAAAATCTATATGTATAATCATTTCGTTAGTACTATTAATATTACATATTATATTAAAAATAATATCAGAGACAGAAAGAAAGAGAGAGAAAAACTGTATGTGTGTAATTATTCTAAATCGTATGCGGCGAATATAAGATAAGGAATAAAAAAGTAAAATGTAATAATTATCAATTTTTTTCGTGACAAAGCTTAAGATAGTGCGTTTATTAATTTATGTTTGAATAAAAGCAAATGTGTAAAACAATTATTTCGATACTCGGCAATGCTCTATTACCTAATCCTAATCCAAGAATGGGCGCCTGATATTCTTTTTTTATAAATTGTCACCTAGGGTGATTTTTACACGCCAATTAAAAGCCATTGTTATTAATTACATATTGCATTGCATATTTTTGGTTGTTCTATAAATTATAAGTATTTGAGGGCAATATATATATTCAATATTTTCTGAAAAGGAGAAACCAAAAAAAATTTTTTAAATGAAAGAAGAACATAAAATTAATATGAGCTTAATCTTTTTCAACACTGGGATGTAAAAATCACCCCCAGGCGCCCTTTCCTAGATTAATATAATATAGGTATTAATATATTAAAATCCGCAATGCGTCTAGGAATGAGTGATGCAGCAGGATAAGATAATAATTTGTCGCAATGCTGATGTCTGCAGGAAAGTCTGCAGAAGAGTTTATCTCGCACCGACAAATTTATATAATCTCCTGTAAAATTACAAGTCCCCTTGTGTCCCGCACGAAATCTTCCTCAATCCAACAATTTAAAAAGCAAGCTTATCAGTACGAATCGAATGTATTTCAAGGAAACGCTTATAATGATCCTTCTCTGATTTCCAATTTTAGATCTATCGTAGAAAAACTGAAATAACACCGTATATGCTTTTTATGCGAGCCTGTAAATTAGTATCTTGAAGCTAATTCGTTATACATACGATTCCGTATTCGATATTGCGAAAGCGTAAAGCGCATTACGTAAAACTTCGGATAATTATGTGTATATGGCGTGTGTACGCGAAAAAAATTTTATAATCACACGCATATATTATACATATACGCGGAGATAGTCGATAATCGAAGGAGTAAACTCGAGACGGAAAGAAACGACTGTGAGAGAGTTTTTTCTTTCCTCTCCGTCTCGATCGCCGGCGCAGAAAAACCGAAACCGGTAAGAATAAACGAGCAATTAAAACCGAGCGCGTTACGTAAGCGGAATTAAGGATCGCGATTATTAGCACTCGATGCTCCCCGGATGGCGCTACTTTACGAGCGCCGGACGCGGCCAATTATTTACGACGCACGAGACGTTCCCCCGTCTCTGTCTCGCGCGCAGATTTCTTCTATGTTTTGCTTTAATCTTCTGTCCTTTTTTTTATTTTGTCCCAATTATAGTCGGCGAACGCGAATTTATTTTAATCTCGAGCTCGACAAAACTGGGATAACGAGATTAACGAGCACTTTTCGAAAATAAGCTTCGGACCGAGGTTTTAACGAGCTCCCGAGTTTTTATACAACACTCCGGAATATTCTTATTCGTACTAACACGAATTAAGAGTCTCGAATTAAAAGGGATGAAATGTAAAACGGGGCGTTAATAATGCTCGGTCATTACTCTTCACATACGCGCGAGGTATGCGTTCCGCGTTAAACCCGAGGCTTAAGAAGATTGGTTTTAATTACTCGCGGAGTAATTCGAACTAGCCGAGCCGCCGACCGTAATTTTCCGACGTCCTACGTTACATCTAACACAGCTATCGACTATAATGATTACACTGCAATTGACTGCGCCATGAATAATTCGAAAGGAAAAAGAAATACGTATTATTTATTCCATCGT